TAAAACGTTAAAAAGTATGTACTAAGCTGAGCTAGGCTCCAAAAGTCTCTCTCCTAAAACATCTTGATTATTTTCTATACACAACTTAAACTTTAACATTAAACAACAGATAAAAAGTCACCATATGACCTTCAGAGGGTGTTGTTATGAGTGAAAAGGACCATAATATTAAAATATAAAATACCAAGATCTTTCTTTATCCCCCGTATGAACTTTCTTTCTTCAATTTGACCTTAAACACTGTGTAACTACGTAACTAACATGATTTTTTTTCATGTTTTAAAAAACAGGTGGTTGTTTTCAGGATGAAAAATAACAATTAGTACATTCTCATAGAACAAGTCTATTCATTCTTAATTAACCAGTCTGCTCTGAATCAGAGTTCACAGACTGTGACCTTTTTAAAATAGGCCATAAAATCTGTTTTAAACACTGAGCTTTCCCATTCTTAAATTTAAAAAAAATAAATTATTACCTGTTTATTTTATTGAGATAAAATTAGCAGCCTGCATGATAGTCATTAAAATAAATAGCGTTATTTTTAGGATTAATTTCAATACTTGTTCCTTAATGAAATTTAAGGTACTGTATGACAATGTTGCTGAAACAGAGAATATAAAATTGTTTTGAAATATGCGAATGACCTTTTGCCGTTTGACTGTTTTACCAGTCAAATGACCTTGACTTGTCAAAACAACGCGCCTTTCCATATGCAAAGCTAATGTTCTGACCACACTCTATACAGGCTGCTGCTTTAATTTAAAGACGATTCCAGAAGTGAAATTATTTTAACTAGTGGGGTGTGTGTGGGGGGGGGGGGGGAAAGGGTTCATCTCCCTCCTTTTTGAGTTATCTGTCACTGAAAACGTCACGCCCAGACTAAGCAGATAACTCAAAATCAAGCATATCAATAAAAGAGCAGGACTTACAAAAATTAACATGAAATAGACTCTAACCCCTCGACCACGGAGGCTGTATGCACTATAAAATAAGATATTTTGTTTGTATTTCAAAATGTTCATTAGTGTTTGATATTAAGGCACACCATTCTTTCCAAGTTTATTTTGTAGTGAAGCCTTACCTATCTTTTTTTGCTTTCTAATTTATAATACATGTAGATTTAAATTGCTAGTTATCTTCAATTTTTGTTATTTGTAGTTATCTTCAATTTCCGTTACTTCTTATGTTAATGTTGATTTTGTTTTAACCTGGATTATATTGCTCTTGACACTTTGTGTCATAAATATGTGAATACAAAAGATTTCTAGTGCCACATTTTAGGGAATGTAATTAACTTTGTCTATAATTTTATTGGCACCATGTAAAGATAATGTGTTATTTTATGTACATAATTCTTCTTTAATGCTTACAATGCTTATTATCTTATTAATGTACTTCATATTTGTTCACCAATCTCATATTTGTTCACCAATCTCATATTTGTTCACCAGTCTCATATTTGTTCACCAATTTCATATTTGTTCACCAATCTCATATTTGTTCACCAGTCTCATATTTGTTTACCAATCTCATATTTGTTCACCAGTCTCATATTTGTTCACCAATCTCATATTTGTTCACCAATCTCATATTTGTTCACCAATCTCATATTTGTTCACCAGTCTCATATTTGTTCACCAATCTCATATTTGTTCACCAATCTCATATTTGTTAACCAATCTCATATTTGTTCACCAGTCTCATATTTGTTCACCGATCTCATATTTGTTCACCAGTCTCAGATTTGGTTACCTGTCTCATATTTGTTCACCAGTCTCATATTTGTTCACCAGTCTCAGATTTGGTTACCTGTCTCATATTTGTTCACCAGTCTCATATTTGTTCACCAGTCTCATTTTTCTTACCAATCTCATATTTGTTCACCAATATCATATTTGTTCACCAATCTTATATTTGTTCACCAATTTCATATTTGTTTATCAATTTCATATTTCTCACCAGTCTCATATTTGTTCACCAGTCTCATATTATATTATTTTGTTCACCAATCCCATATATGTTCACTAGTCTCATAATTGTTCATCAGTCTCATATTTGCTCACTGATCTCATATCTGTTCACTGATCTTATATATGTTCATTGTTTTCATATTTGTTCAACTATCTTATTTCACCAATCTCATATTTGTTCACCAATCTCATAACTTTGTTCACCAGTCTTATATTTGTTCATCAATCTCATATTTGTTCACCAATCTCATATTCTTTGAGAAATCTATTGTTAATGTTTTGATCTTTTGCTTAATTTGCATTTATTGTAACATAATTTTTTAATTTTTTGGTAAATGATTTTGTCCTCTACCTATGTTTTAGATAGTCACCATAAATTATCACACAAAGTGTAAGCAGATAAATGGATCTGTACTGGTTCACTATCATATGTAGGTTACTAGATTACATTGCTGAGTTGTTTAGTTTGGAGATAATGAGTACATGGTACCTCAGTGATGCAAGATTGGTTATGTCATATACATATACATGTATTTAGAAACTTAAATTTGTTTAAAATTCAAATAGTTTTTGTAGTAGATATAGTTTTATACACTTTGATTTACATGTTTTCCAGAGTAGTATTTTGTACATTGTTTACATTTTGATACTTTTATGGTAGATTATTTCACATTTTATAATGGCTAATTTCTTCATCTAGTATTATCTATAAAACCATTATTTAAATGTTATAATGTTCATAATGAGTAAAAATTTATTTGTGCCTGAGGCATAAGGCATAATGTGCCTTTAAAGGGACTCCACTGAGCTAAACATAACATTTGAATTTCATACAAAAATGAGCTGGGGCACAAATTTCATACATAAATGAGCTGGGGCACTTTAAACAGAAATATAGGCAAAGATAGATAATAAATATACTTTGAAATAAATTGAAAATCGTATTTTTATGCTTTTCTTAAGCCCGATTTGAGTGAAAAGTGTTTAAACGCTTTTCATTTTGGGTCATTTTTTTTATCATTAGAATAATTATTCTGTAAAATCGAAGCGCGCGAATGATCTGAATTTTGCACAAAGGTTAGTCAGGTCTAAACCTACATCAAATGGTACATTTATCTGGAAAAATTTTTTTTGGTCCTTTAATAGGATGATGTTTTCTCACTTATTTATGACTGTTTAAAATTGCGTTTTGTAATCAGTTTCATGTTGACACAACCCAATCTAGTGAGAGATGGTAGGTTTTTATCATTGTAAACATTTACATACATTATGTAAATTACCAACACTGTGAAGATGGTATCTCTATCATAAGGAATTCGAAATTAAGCTCATTACAAAAGACAGTTATAATTAAGTTTAAGTTTTTTTTTAGAGTTGTATAATTTAATGCAGTTTTATTTGTTTGTTTGATGATTGCCCAATTATTTCCAGTATACAAAAGTCAGTTAATAATGTTCCCATGCAATTATACCCTATTATACCCACAAGTCTGGAAAACACTAAGCCATAATTATTACCTTGCACTGTGATCACTGTGGTTTTGATTGTGCCAAAAAAGTATTGTAGGATATATGTAGATATAGTGCTGAAAAGCTGAGTTTATTGGACATTGACAAATTGATTGTACCTGTAGAGATAAGATTTTACCATTTATTGGTCTCAAAGGAAAAATCTCCTCATTTCCAAAGTTTCAGGGATTGAGGTTACAATTTTTAGTGGTTCATTATTTTAAGCTTTATCTCATACCATGCAAAACATTTTAATTGAACTTGTCCATATTTGAATCTGGACAAAACCATTACTAGAGAAAATTTCCAAATAAGTACTGACTGATTAGCCCATAGCTGAAAACCTTGACAAGACCTCACAGATTTGCCGTCTACAATGGTTGCATGGGTATATTATAGCAGGCTATTATAATTGCCAGGATGATGATGTAATATGTCACATCCAGAGTTTGGTTCCTTGATTTGCCAGCTAATCTTAGTCTAGCTGGTTGCTTGGGTATATTCAGTTGCCACCCTAGCATGGCTAGACAGCCGAGATGTACATGTTGTTTTATGCGTCATTATTTCATTTGGACTTTCATTCACAATTTTTTTCCCTTTGCATTATTTTGATTGTTCATGGCCTCATGCAGAAACCTGGTAATTTGCTTAATAAGGAAAACTAACCAATTCAGGAACTTTGATTTTTAACTTTCCAACTGCACAAACTACTCAAATTCTGTTGTAAACAGGTATTTAAATGAAAACAAGCCGATGGGATGAATGAAAAACTGCAAATTTTATCTTATTGTGATTTTTTGTTTTTCCTTTTCCTTTGTAAATTCTTCTGTTAAGGTGTTCTTTATGTCTGAAATGGGAAAATTAACATGGGATGATGGAAAAACAAACATTTCAAACTGCGTCATCACAAACTCTTTTTTGTGCGATGAAGTCTGACCAATGAAAGGGTTCCCCTAGTGTGACTTTAACATAAGTCATTTAGTTAATGTTTTGCAAATGTTTCCTTATTTTGAAAATCTTAAGGAGAATAAAATAATTCCAGACATGACATTGTAACTATGGTTAAATAGCTTTTCAAATTTATGTACCAGGCATTCTGATTGGCTGCTGTTGTAATCTCAATAAAGATTTCAGCCAATGATGATTGCTGACTTATTATTTCGACTGGTTACTCGCGTATGATTTAGCTGCTATTGAAGTTTTGATTATTTAAATAAAGTTTGTAAAGCAATCACTTTTTGATGGCAATTAAGTATTATAAGTTATATATCTGCCACTGAAATGAAAAATAATGTTTAAGAATAAGATATATTAAGATCATATGAACATGTGTGTTGTTTGCATATTTAATAATTTAGTATTTAATGATTAATATTCATACTCTTTTATTCAATAAACTACAACTTTTATTTTAATGTAAAGTTCACATACCTATCTGTTTTTGTCACTTCATGCAGACTTCAAATGTTTCCAACATTGTCATATCTTGTAATTAATCAACTGAACATTGTTTTATTTCCAGGATAAAGTTCCATGTAGGGAGTTACCTGTTGCATATGGTAGATTTAATGTTAGCATACCTACTTATGTTAGCTGTGATGTCTTATGATGCATATATTCTTATAGCTGTGATATTTGGTAAGTGCTTAAGTGGCATGGATTGCAGTCATGCAAGTCAAGTCTGTGTCATAAACATAGAGTCAGTCAGGCCTGCCTCCTCAGAATAGAGCTAGACCAGTCAAACCTCTGTCCTAAAATAATTGAGGCTAGTTACGCCTCTGTTCACAAAATAGAACAAGGCCAGTCAGACCTCTGTCCCCATAAAAGAGCTAGGTCAGACATCTGTCCCAAAGATCGAGCTAGGCCAGTCAGACCTCTGTCCCTAGCAAAGATCTTGGCCAGTCAGACCTTGGTCCCAGGCAAAGAGCTAGGCCAGTCAGACCTTGGTCCCAGACAAAGAGCTAGGCCAGTCAGACCTCTGTCCCTAGCAAAGAGCTAGGCCAGTCAGACCTTGGTCCCAGGCAAAGAGCTAGGCCAGTCAGACATCTGTCCCTAGCAAAGAACTAGGCCAGTCAGACCTTGGTCCCTATCAAAGAGCTAGGCCAGTCTGGTACTTGCCACAAGAGTGGATCCAGGAAAGTAATTATGGTGTGTTCCACCAGAATAAAACATGTCTGGCATGCCTTTGGCACAGTGGAGCCAAAATTACATTGTGACTTAGTCATGTAGTGTCTCTTTACTACAACATTGTATAGGCCACATGGTTTGCTTTCTGGAATGGTTAATAAGAAATTATTTTTAATACGCTTTAAGTTCATTCGAATTTAAAGAAAACTTAATTCGAACACTTAACAAGTGATTTTTTTTTACTTCATTGAAAAAACAACAACAATATCAAAAAACAACAACATCACGATAAAAACAACAAAAAAGAAACAAACAAAAAAAATACAACAACAGAAGATAACAAACTAGTATACTATTGCTCTAAATGGACTAATATGTACTGATTTTCATTATCATAATATCACATCCTAAGTATGAACAGTTAGGCAAAAAAAACAAAGACTGTTTCAGATGGTATTAATTATTTTTCCCTTAAGGTGTTTACAAATGTAGGTTTTGAAAAAAGATAAGGTGTCAGATGGTAAACATATATATTTATGTAAATTAGGTATTTGTTACTAAACTCTAATGTTGTTGTCCTCATACATGTTTATCCTTATACATGTATTTATTGACTCATGATTATATCAAACATGGGGGCATCCTTGGCCTAATGGGTCAGGTTGTTAACTTCAAATCACTTGCACCTCACCACTGTGGGTTCAAATCCTGACAGAGACTTTGAATTCTTTCATGTGAGGAAGCTATCCATGAACTAGCTTATAGAATGTTGGTGGTTCTACTCGGGTGACCGTTTGTGCCTGAAATGGTGCACGGAAGGGTATCTGAGGTCTTCTTCCACCAGTAAAGCTGGAATATTGCCTTTACTGTGATGGTGCGACGTAAAACCCAACCAAAAAACAAAAAAAAACAAAAAACAATCAAATATCAAAGGGACTCCACTGAGGTTTTTTTGACATGACAGGACTAGAAATAATTTTCCCAGATTAATATTCCATAACTTTCTGTTTAAAATACGTTGGCTGATCTATATCTGAAATTAAAATTTTATATTTTAGGCTTTTGGCAGCTTTTCGACATTACGTCGAGTTCCTTTATGATACAAACTGTTGTTAAAGACAAGTTGGTAGTAGTTTTAGGAACACTTCAATTTGTTTTCTTTTCATGAAATGTAAAGTGTATTGGACTACAAATTAGTGTCAAATTTGTTTCATTTCTTGTAGCCCCTGTCATAAGTAATAATACTATAGGTTTATTGTCCTTTCGGAAATAACACCAAAATAAACAAAATTTTAATGATATAAAAACTTCCTGTATGGCCCAAATTTTAACCTGTCCAAAAGCTGACTCATATCCATTACTGTGACAAATATGAACTTCAAGTTGTTAATGGTTTAAACTTTGCCCTGCTAATTTTCATGAATGAACTTGTCCATCTTCCTTTCTGGACAAAACCTTTTATCTTTTTAGCTCACCTGTCTAAGCACAAAGTGGTCAAAGGTGAGTTTTTGGGATCACTCTGTGTTCATTGTGCGATGTGCATGATGGGCATGCTTTGTTAACAGCGTCAAACTTTTTCAAACCACATCCCTTCCTATACTAATTTTTAGTAATTGGCCAATAATGTTAAAACTTAGCAGGAATGTTCCTTAAACATGAAGCGCTTTAAAAATTGTTCAAAGAAGTCCATGCCATGCTAAATTCTGGTTGCCATGGCTATCAGGCTATCAAAAGAAAAAAAACTTTAAAAGTCTTCTTCTAAAAAACACAAAGAACTAAAGCATAGATATTTAACATGAAACATCTTCCAGTGGTTGTCTACCAAGTTTGTTCATATAGAAGCCCTGAGGTCAATATTGGTTACGCCAATCAAGTATTTAGTCTAAGAACATAAAATCTATTGACAGCACATTTGAGCTGCTTCACGACAAAACCAACATAGTGCGTTTGCCACCAGCATGGATCCAGACCAGCCTACGCATCTGCCCAGTCTGATCAGGATCCATGCTGTTCGCTTACCAACTCTATTACAAGTAGAGAAACTGATAGCGAACAGCATGGATCCTGATCAAACTGCGCGGATGCGCAGCTGGTCTGGATCCATGCTGGTCGCAAACCCATTATGTTTGTTTTGTCATGGCGCGGCTCATTTATTCACTAGCAGCAGGACATGCATGCAGCTCACAGCCCTGATAACGGAACATGTATATTGTAAATTGAAAGTTAAAGATCAAAGTTAACTTGAGATATAAGTCAGATAGTATATCTCGATGAACTCATGTTATCTGTTTAAACCTTTAGTAAATAAAATTTGAAAATTAAATTTTAAACAAGAAAAAGTAAAGATTTCCATGGTACATTAATTTTGAAGTTAAAATGAATTCATTTTTTTGAGAATTTAATCCATTTTATGAGCTTGCCTACCAACTGATCAGCTTAACCCCTGGTCTCGAGGTTTTAAAACTTTTTTTACAGAGTTCTGTCTCAAATCTAAGGAATTTCATTGGTCAATATATAAGCTGTACTGGTTTCTGACCAATCAAATACAGAAGATCTGAGAATATCATATTTATGTAGGCTCTTACTGAATTTATTGAACTCATTGAATAATAATTTCATTCATTATTCTCTATTTCTTCTTTCAGGTTCTGGTGTGGGTTATTTTATTTTTGGTGCCGTCAACGCTAAAAATAAATTGAAATTTCACGCCCTAAAAATGGGTATGTATGACCTGTATGACAGTCAAACGGGACTTACAAATAGTCAAACAGGACTTACAAATAGTCAAACGGGACTCAGAAATAGTCAAACGGGACTTACAAACCAAAGCCAATGCTCAATATCTAGCTCTACGACTTCATCGAAATATGGTAGCAATGGAGTTTCGTGTGCCAATGGTAGCAGATAGTGATGTCACTCGTGGAAATCTTAAATAACCATTGATAAAACATGCATCAAAATTGGTATAACGATTTTGAGAGCACAGTGCTTTGTTAAATTGAGTGAAATGCTAACTTTCACAAACATTGAGAGTGAAATGTGTGTATGCATTTAATTGGATGAAGTTTGTGTCGTCAATTGATTGAGCTTGGTTTGGGCTGTAATTAATGTATGGTGTGATGTACAGTTTATGTACACTAATAAATTGTGTGACGTACAGTGTATGTACACTAATAAATTAATTACATGTACTCTTATTAAATGAGACCTCTATTGATTAAAGTGTACTCTAATTTATTCAAGTGATTTATATATACTCTATTAAATTGAGATATCTGATAAATTACAGTGAAAAAATATACACTAAAGAAACGGAAAATTGTGTGAGCTTTCATAAAGTGTGACATAATTATGTAATCAGTTTGTTACATTGTGTACAAGAAAAAACTGCATAAAATGTGTACACAGAATATACAGGAAAAAATGTACTCTTTGATGATTGCGTATTCTGATCAACTTGGGGGATTGTGTACACCAAAATAACAAACTATAAGATATGTACACTTGTAACATGGAAAAAATGTACTCTGATAATTAGATTATGTACACTAATTAATTGTGCATTGTCTATTTAACTTAAGTATTGCATGAAATATATATTATATATTTAATTTATTTGAATCAAATGTGCTTTTATAACAGCGTGAAATAATAAATGATATTATTAAGTGGCTAATTGAACAAATTTATTTTCAAGAGAATTATTTTACTTTCTTTTATATACATTTTTAGCTCACCTGTGCACCAGATGTTCATAGGTGAACTTTTATGATGGCAGTGTGTCCATTGTTGGTTGTTAGTCATTCTTTGTTATCCACAATTTCTTTGAAAAGCATCTCCTCCAAAACCACTTGGTAGATATTGACCAAACTTCACAGGATTAATTCCTTAGACTTTAAAATGAAATCTTTAAAAAAAACGTATCCTTAGAAACAATATATGCCTAGAGCTAAGACTTTTGATTTGTTACACTAAGTGTTACCTTCTGATCCTCTACAAAAGTTAAATAAAGAATGATCAAGTTACAGAATTCAGATACAGTATAACCTCCAGAGCAGCCCCTTATAAAGCAATTACTTCTAGACAACAACATCTAGACTTTTGCAGAGGTTATACTTAATATTCATGAAAGAATAAAGCAATATACTAATTAACATTCCTTTATGCATAGTTAAAAGTGAAAAAAAATTGGGAGAGAAAAATCTTGCTTTAAACAATCAATAGTTTTGCTATTTACAAGCTTTAACCAATGTTGAAATGTTTTTAAAAAACGACTTCCAGGATTTGTTTAGATTTACAGTTAAAAGCAAATTTTGTGTGGATGTGTGGTGGAGCTGTTAATACATCAGACTAGTAATTTAAGTATTGCTGACAGCATGGGCTCAAACCCTGTCAGTTGCAAGCCGTTGTTTCCTGAGCAAGAAATTTTACACTCATTGCTTAGTACTTGTTAGTTTCAGGAACCGATTCAAGAAGTGTTTCAATAAGCTTATAACATCCTACACAATCAACTTGCTAAAATGAATTTGTATAAACCGAAAGCTAATTTTTTCCTGTACTCCATAGCAAGTCTTTGCCAACGCAAATATAAACAGGGAGCATTCATTGTTTTAATTTAATGTTTTTTTTTACAATCCATATAAAACAACATATATTAAAAGGCAATTATTATTCATTCTCAGGTAGACAAATTACATTTGTAAGAGGAATATAAACAACTAGACTGTTGATCTACTTTAATTCAGTTTTATACAGTCAAGTAATTGATATGTTACTACTATAACAAGGGAAAGGAGGTTTTCAGTCAAAGTTAACGACTCTTAACGAGGCTTTTCAAGTAATCTTATTTGCATATTTGTGACATAAAAATCAAATTTCATGTATTTATTAAGCAAAAAAAAGAAAACCAAACCCTCAACAATACTGCATCAAAACAAATGCTGTTTTTTGTAGATAACAATTCATCATGTTTGTAAACAAAAGGGAAATGCATCATTTTAGGATTGAAGTTCCGCGGAAACAACACTGTCTTAAATCAGATTGTTAATTTAGTGAGGTAAGCCAGTTTTGCAATAAATGGCATGCCTCTAGATGATTAGAATATATCTTCAGAGAAATATAATGTTTGTATTTACATTGAAAAGGTGTAAATGTATATCTCATTAGATATTTCTATTATGATCCATATTTTTACATTATAAATGATTGTAATAGTTTACATCACAATCATTATTAAGAAATAAATATTTTATATTTTATATCAAAATCTTTGTTTTTAAATGTAGGTTTCAAATATAATAGTTTTATTTTGGTAACTTTAAAATAGTTACAATTTTACTTAAAAATAGTGTTTTTCATTTTAGTTTTATTTTATGTAAGCTGTCTAACAAAGACTTGTTGAAGTAACTTATATCAAGCTTTACAGCCAAGCTACAATAAGTGACAATTAGCACTTAAACAAACAAGTCTTGATAAGCAGTCAGCTTACTCCTTTTTTTTTCCATCCTTATTTAAATGCCTAAATATATAGTTAAACAAAAATAGTAACTTTTGCAGGAAATCATCCTAATGTTTCCTTCTTAGGACTTTTTATACATTAATGTTTATTTGCATATGGTTTAACAGAGTTAAACAAAACTTCCAGCTTCAACTGAGTGTCCCAGTATCATTCGAAAATTGGACATTGAAGAATAAACTGGATTTTTAACTAATAAAGTGTTAACTCTGTTATTCCAGGGTTTCGTCATAAAGGACTTAAACACAGTCTGCCCATAATTAATTAATATAAAAGGACACCTGTCGTAGAATCATAAAATTCTGGTGGAAAACTTTCATACAAAAACAATTAGAACAAATATTTAAGTCAAAATTTAAACAAATCAAGTTAATAGCAAAAACTCTCTTTTTGGTTATGCAGATAAAATATTCATTCAAATTATCACAATGAAAACTAGAAAAAAAAAAACATAAACAACACAAACCTGAAGCAAAAAAAAACAGACCATGGAATTTCCATTTGCTTAACAAGGTAGGAATATTAATATTTCTCGCAAGAGCAATGGTCATTTCTGTATCTTTTGTTCCAAAAGTCAATTTAAACAATTTCTTACAAATATTTACTTCTTGTAAAATAATACTTAGTCGAATGCACACAATATTAATGCTGGTGCTATTTTTAGAATCACTTATAAATCTACAAAAAGGAAATTCTAAGTGTAACTTAAATAACATTTAATAATTTAGGAAAAGAAATTGCATATTATAGAGTCCAAAAATATGCTTGGTGAGAAACCTCTCACATAAATTTTAAATACTTATTCTTCCTATCAGTCAACCAACAATTTTTCTTGTAAATCATGTCTAAATATTTATTGGTCAAATTGAAATTCAAAAATAAAATAGTACTAAGGGTTTAAGAAATTTTAACACCTTGTTATTTTTGTCATTTTTCTTTTTGACAAAACTTTTTCATACAGTCATTTTCTAAAAAAAAAAAGTTTTTAAAAATCTACTTCCATACCAAAAAAGGATATTTCCTTAATTAAGAAATTTATCACTAAAAATATTCATGAAAGTGCTATGCCACAAAACAAGGTCTTGTTATAAAGGTAGCCCATTTAAAATGGGTTGGTCCATACTTAATTGACATATAAGGTCAAAATTTCAGCAATGAATTAAGGGACTATAAAACGAACTTTTAAAGGCACTTGTTAATTCCCAACGGTTAAAACACTTTCAAGAACCACTTCATTCTAAAAGTTCAAATAAAAAAGCAAATAAATCTCTTTCAAATAGTCAACAGCCTGTAAAAAATAGGGGTCAACAGTCTGAAACTAATAACCAAACTAACAATACTCATATTCCACAGCCTGTAAAAACATCCAAGTCTGTAGAAACAAACAATCACAAGTCTAATAATAATCCTCAGCTCAATGATAAAAGTCCTCAGGCTTCCCCAAAACAAAATTCTATGTTTAACTTAATAAAACCAATACAAATCAAAAAAACATGCATAAGTACTGGAAATAAAAAATGGTTCTATTGTTCTTTACCAAATAGTGTAAACAAATGAATTATGAAAAAATTTATTAACCCTAACATCATTCAAGAATACTAAAAAACACATACCAAAACTGGTAAAAAAAAACAACGTAAAACCAATGCGTTCTTTCATAAGAAATAAATAAGCCCTTAGTCTAAAGCATACACACAATGAATAAACATTACTCATTAAAATCTATAAAATCCTAAATTGTTAGGTATATTAGGCGTGCACATCAAAATTCAAAATTATTTTCCCTTTAGTAAAATAATATTTGATTATAAAGCTCTAATCAAGTTTTCATACATTTCACTATTGGTATTTTTTTTTCTATTTTTAATAGGTTGGACAAATTAAGTACCACCCTTGTGTGTTCAACTTGTGCTCCCAAATAGCAGCACCTTATAATGTTGTATTCTTTATTTACAAATTTAAGCTGCATCTATAGAATGAAACTCCCTGTGTGCTGTTCACAGAATATTCATTTAACATAAGCTATCTGTCAAAAAAAATTCTTCCAAAAATAACCAATAATAATAATTAATTCCAAATGTTCATTTATAAATGCATAACCTTGCGAAATTTGTATTAATATTCCTACCAATTGCATAATCTTGTATATTTTTGTGTATTGTATACTAAACAAGAGGGCCATGATGGCCCTGGATCGCTCACCTGACACAACCGCATCCAAGCAATGTCTTAAACAAGCATCATGACCAAGTTTGATGCGACTGAGTCAAACATGTGACCTCTAGTGTGTTATAAAGATTTTTCCATATTTGGGCAATGTGACCTAATTTTTGACTGGACACGACCCATATTCAAACTTGACCTAGAAATCATCAAAACAACCTTCCTGACCAATTTCCAGGAAATTTGGATCAAAACTGCAGCCACTAGAGTGTTAAAAAGATTTTTCTATGTTTAGCTCCTGTGACCTAGTTTTTGACCAGACATGACCAATCTTAGCACTTGACCCAGAAAACATCTTCAAAACAACATTTCTTGACAAATTTCCTGAATATTTGAATAAAAACTGCAGCCACTAGAGTGTAAACAAGCTTTTTCTATTTTTAAACTTCCTGTGACCTAGTTTTTGACCTGAGATGGCCCCATCTTCGAACTTGACCTAGAAATCATCAAAACAACCTTCCTGACAAATTTCCAGAATATTTGAATCAATACTGCAGCCACTAGAGTGTTAACAAGCTTTTTCTATGTTTAGCTCCTGTAACCTAGTTTTTGACCGAGATAAATCCATCTTCGAACTTGACCTAGACATCATCAAAAACAACCTTCCTGACAAATTTCAAGAATATTTGGATGAAAACTGCAGCCCCTAATGTGTTTAACAAGCTTTTCTATTTTTAGCTCCTGTGACCTAGTTTTTGACCGGAGATGAACCCATCTTCGAACTTGACTTAGATATCATCAAAACAACCTTCTTGACAAATTTCCAGATCATTTAGATGAAAAACTGCAGCCATTAGAGTGTTAACAAGCTTTTTCTATTTTTAGCTCCTGTGACCTAGTTTTTGACCTGAGATGACCCATCTTCGAACTTGACCTAGAAATCATCAAAACAACCTTTCTGACAAATTTCCAGAATGTTTGGATGAAAACTGCAACCATTAGAGTGTTAACAAGCTTTTTCTATTTTTAGCTCCTGTGACCTAGTTTTTTGACCAGACATGACCCCATCTTCGAAATTGACCAAGAAATCATTAAAACAACCTTCCTGACAAATTTCCAGAATATTTTAATCAAAACTGCAGCCACTGAGGGGAGTGTGCTTAAACAAGCTTTTTCTATTTTTAGCTCCCCTGTGACCTAGTTTTTTGACCGCCGAGACGTTTATAAAAAGCACCGTCTCTTTATAACAGGTCAACTAATTATAATATTCCATGATTAAAATGATAGAGAGAAAGTCTTGTTAAAGCAATGTCAGGAACGCATTTTCCCAATTCAATGTGGCTAGTCATTTAAAGGCCTGATTTGATCAGATACATACACAAAGGAGTGTCAGAATATTAAAAAACAAGTTTGTTTTAGTGTGGAAAAGATAGAATTTAATAATTTTCTAGTATATTTCACCCGAACACCTGCTTAGTTAAAGATGTTCTTATTGGTCTAAAAGTGATTGCCTCCTTTGTTCTCATTGGCCGAAATTTCTTTGTTTACAAAATAAGGAGGTCAATCCGATTTTGTGATATTTTGCAAATTTTCTTAATTTTCGGATTGACCTATATCGACAAGTTTGTCGCGCGAACGGGATAGAGATTTAGCAGGTGCCCTTAACACTCCATTGTATAGTATCTGTACAACTATTAATAAATAAGAATAAAACAACAAAAAACTTGTAAAATAGCAATTGTTTTAAATCAATGGTCTAATCTAGCTTAGAAAGTTCCCAAAATATGGCTATTAAGTAATATCTTTGTTACCCTTAATGTGATGAAGTGACCTTTTTTAACAAATATAAGGCCACTTCATACTTGAGTGTATGCGTATAACTTATGCTCCATATGGGGGAACACATACACTTTTATGTTTTATATACAGGACAAAGAGAAGAAGTAAAAATAAACACAGGGCGGGGGAATAAGGATATTTACACTATATGGAGTCTTTTAACATTAAGGGTAACGGTAGCCTTCCTTCCCAATTTTGTTCGACCACTTGATTTACATTTTAAAACAATATCTGGCATGTAGACCCAATTAAGATAAATTGAATAAAATTTATAATATCACATTGTTCTTCCGTTTCACGGCCACTTCCTAGGGCCACAGTTAAAATATATAAATATTAAGACTATGTAATATACATATTTACAATTAAAAGTATAAGTCTACATGCCTAGACAACATTTAAAACTAAAAGAGTTAAGTGTAGATTTGCAACACCGTCCGCGTCGGTCCGCGAAATGAGGATTCGAAAAACAACTTGGTTAATAAGTAAATATTATCTCAATTATAGCAGTAATAGAAATTCTACTGGCAACCTCACAGGATATTGTATACCACATTTTACCCAGTGAGTCTAACCATCCCACTGAAAGTAAAACTCCCTCCCGATAAAGGCGAAGGATAGATGTTAACCAGCAGAAAAACTAAATACTTAGT